ATTTCGCAAAAACACCGATCAAATGTTTAAACTCGGCACTCGAAAATCGTTTAAAACATTTTGTGCAGGCCGGTACCCTCGTATTATGTAATGTTCCTATTTCAATGCAAATATACCGATGGTTTGATAGAAAGAAGATACTGCTGCGAAAAGGGGTTGCAGTTAATTCGATCAAAAATAGTAGTTGACCTTCTCCTTGAAGAGAGCATGGTCAACGACTACATGGTCAACGGTGGTTTTATTCACTCGTTTACCGGAGGGCACTTATTGAGCTGCAATTTGAAAAACTGTAGACTTAAAAGTCTACAGTTTTGCAAATTGCAGCTCAATAAGTGCCCTCCGGTTTAAATTCCCACTGTCGTCCGTTTGTCTCCTCCTTCCGAAATCTCGAGAACGGTGTGAGCTACCTGAAAGCCGAGAACAGGCGTGAAAATTGTAATATAAAAAGAACTAGATTAACTGTGTGCGAACTTCCGATTTGCATTGAGAGTTATTTCGATTCAAAAAGCTTCCCCCGAACAGAGGTAGATACATAACCGGCACGACAAGAAAAGTATGAGGTACGGAGGCAAAACGCTACTATACACCACACAGGCCAATGCTATGCGCTACCTGTCGCAGTAATGGCGTAATGGCGCATCTGTTTCGCGCTATATTATTGTCGCAGTAATTCGCCATAATGTCATACAAATACAATCGATATTTTGAGGCGGGATGTAGGACATGACTAATGGCTGTTATACACGGTAAGGAAATCCTCAAAGGATGTGCTTAACAGACGAAAAAAACTCGGATATAACTGGCTGGTTCGAACATAGTAATTTACAAAACTTATTAAAATATCTCCCAACGTATAAAGAATTATTTTTATTTAAAAATGGATAGATAGAAAAAAAATTCACGGTTAATCCTCAAAGGATTTCCTTACCGTGTATAACAGCCTTAAGTTATAAGAATTTGAACGTAATTGCCCAGTTTCGTAGCAATTGGTGGAACGGCCTAGGAGTGAATAAAGATTAAATAAAAAAACATTCTTATTTATAAATAGAGATATTAAATACAATCCGCTGCACAGGATTACGACGACAAAAAAGCGACTTTCACGATGCACACGTCTTTCCATTAGGAATATCCTCTACGAGGAGCTCCTTTTTTCAGGCCAAAAATGCCCGTGATGCGAGGAAACGAACGGTAATAGTTAGATATAGTGAAACCTGCTTATCTGACCACCTGTGTAAGACGACCACTTTCAGCCGGTCCCTTCAGTGGTCAGATCAGCAGGTTTTACAGTATACAAAAAAATTAACAGAAATATTCGAACGACAATGTATTGTGATAATCAGATGACAAAAATATTATTAATAAGTTAACACAGACGTATAGTTTATTAGAACTATTTATAGACCGATACTAAAATTAGAACTTTTACAACATTAATTAATAATACTGTATTAAATTTTGATCAACATTACCTAAACGAAGAGAACTAGAAGCCGAATAGTAATAAATGTTCGAATTTAAAATTCTACTCTTGGTGTAACGAACTGTAATTATCGGTTTCGGGAGACCTTTCACGTCCATAAATTTAATCGAAGCTTCTAAATTGGTCGGATATGTGAAATATAATAAGAGGAATTGAGTTAATTGGAAGAAAAATCCAAATAAAGCACCGAAAAATATGAACAACTTAAATATTTTCCTTTTGGTATTTGGCTCTGTGACGATCTGAGGGATTCCCGTCATAATGACATTCTCTAACATTATTCTACGATATTGACGCATATCTTTACTGCTTGGATTTTTTATATATTCTATCATATTTGCCTCTCAACTGACGAAGAAACATTAGTTTAAATTTGAATACCAAAAAGTGCTGAAAATATAAAAACAAAACTTACCTTTCCTAGGTTTAAAATTAGTCGTTTCGAGCAGAGTTGTTATAGAATTCGAGCCTGTAAATATTACTTTTCCGTTGTTTGTGTGATGTTTGCTGGAGAGTAATGAAAACACTAGTTTTTAGTCACGTTGAAATGAGAATAAGCTGAATTAGTAATGAAATGCAGGCGATAAATAGTACAGCTACTTTCAATATCTAAAACTTCGTTGGTTAATTTAATAACATTATGCGGAGTTCGGTTGTGTATTAAAAATATTTAAATCGATCATCTATAAAATTGTGGCTAAATTAATATAAATTAAATTGCGGAATACTAAGTTACTAACAATGACCATTAACGTTAACTGTTTATATTAAAATGTGAACATTTTAATTTTAATATTGGACTATTCTACTGTATTTTAATATTGTTTATAATATTTAATATTTAGTAACTTTAAATAATTATACTTCTGTAAGTTTTAATATATCACTGTCTTTTTACCAGTGGTTTAGTTCATAAACTCAACCGACGACAGACTTCTCACATACTAGCCAATATTTATTTAAGAATTAAAACTCCAGTATGCATTTTGACAACTCAGTTCGCTTTTAATTTACAACCTTCCTAAGCGGACACATAACACATCGAGACCTAATAATCACTACTGCTTACAATGTTTTATAAAACATAATTTGCAGCCATAAACTTAATAACATAACTATACTTTATTTACAATTACAATTTTTAAACAGTTATATTTATTTTTTATCACTATTATCAATGCTGTTATCAATCAATCTGCATAAAACAAATTCCGTCGCTTATCCTTTTCAGCAACTGTCCAATTTTAATTCTTAAATAAACATTGGCTAGTATGTGAAAAGTCTGTCGTTAATTGAGTTTATGAACTAAACCACTGGAATAAAGACAGTGATATATTAAAACTTATAAAAGTATAATTATTTAAAGTTACTGAATATTAAATATTTTAAACAATATTAAATACAGTAGGATAGGCTAATATTAAAATTAAAATGTCCACATTTTAATTAATATAAACAGTTAACGTTAATGATCATTGTTAATAACTTAGTTTTCCGCAATTTAATTTATTTTAATTTAGGCACAATTTTATAAATAATTGATTTAAATATTTTTAATACACAACCGAACTCCGCACATTGTTATTAAATTAACCAACGAAGTTTCAGATATTAAAAGTAGCTGTACTATTTATCGCCTGCATTTCGTTACTAATTCAGCTTATTCTCATTTTAACCTGATTAAAAATTAGTTTTCATTATCCTCCAGCAGACATCACACAAACAACAGAAAAGTGATATTTATAGGCTCGAATTGTATAACAACTCTACTCGAAACTATTCATTTTAAACCTAGGAAAGGTAAGTTTTGTTTTTATATTTTTAGTACATTTTGGTATTCAAATTCAAACTAATGTTTCTTCTTCAGCTGAAATATAAATATGATAGAATATATAAAAAGTCCAAACAGTAAAGATATGAGTCGATATCTTAGAAGAATATTAGAGAATGTCATCGTGACGGGGATTCCTCAGATCGTCACGGAACCAAATATCAAAAGGAAAATATTTAAGTTGTTCATATTTTTCGGTGCTTTATTTGGATTTTTCTTTCAGTTAACTCAATTCCTGTTATTATATTTCACATATCCGACCAATTTAGAAGCTTCGATTAAATTTATGGACGTGAAAGATCTCCCGAAACCGATAATTACAATTTGTGACACCAACGGGTGAGTAGGATTTTAAATTCGGACATTTATTACTATTCGGCTTCTAGGTCTCTTTATTTAGGTAATATTGGCCAAAATTTAATATCATTAATTAAGGTTTTAAAAGTCCGATACTAAAATTAAAAGTGTATTATTCTTATAGTTGTAATAAACTGTATAAATGTATGTTAACTTGTTATTAACATTTTTGTCATCTGATTAAGATAGTGCATTGTCGTTCGAATATTTCTGTTAAATTTTTTATATACAGTAAAACCTGCTAATCTGACTTCTGAAGGGATCGGTTCAAATTGGTCGTCTTACACATATTATCAGGTTAGCGGGTTTTACTCTATTTGAATTGAACCATTCGTACCCTCGCATCACGGGCTTCGATCCCTTCTTCAAATATAGACTATAATAATGAAAGATATGGTTTATTTTTTCTGTTTGTTTATGACCACTTCAAACTAAGTATTTTATATTGTGAAGCGGCAACACTAACTCAATAAGAACAAATAACGCCGGAAGGATTGTCAACACGATTAGAAATTTTTGGCGTTAGAAAAGGAGCTCCTCGTAGTGGATATTCCTACTGGAAAGACGTATGCATCGCGAAAGTCGCTTTTTCGATTAGTGTCTACTCGATTAATAAATTGCACCATTCTGTACCATCCGAGTGTCGCGATAAACGTGATAATGATAGGTTAAAATAACCAAACTCTTTACATGGTTTTCGTTTTAATATTTGTTATATTAGTGTATTTGATTCATATAACAACGATGATTATATTACGTAAGGGTTTATTTCACCGAGTGACCAATCTAACACATTTTACATTAAACATGTTTTATTCCCCTACTGTACACAATTCAAAGAAATTTTAAAATGTGTTTGATTGTTTACTCGGTGTGATAAATCCTTACGTAAGATAATCTTTTCTTGTTATATAGATCAAATACCGTAATATAATACGATACAAGAGTTAGTAGTACGAAATAAGCTAATAATCTTAATGTTTCTTGTTACTTTTTGCCGAGCAAAGTCGAGCGTATCCGCTAGTTAAATATAGATTTGAACTGTAAAACTCGTACGAATAAATTGTCCCGCTCTACCGTTTGCCCCGAATATGCAATACACCTGTTCCAACACTCTACAAGTTATGCGTTGAACGTACAATATATATATAGAATATAGTAAAAATAAAGGGGTTCGTACAAGTTCATCTGCGAAATTATTACTAATTTAGTATATTATTCGTATTTCACTGATTAATGTAATTAGTTAAAATCCGCAAGTCGAGTGAGAAATAACGTCTGATATTTTAAAATTATTTATAGTGTACGACGAACAGACTTTTGTCGAGATTTTCCAAGAAAATGTGAGAAAACAATGCTTATCAAAGAAGTGTGTGAAAATTTCGACTATTTTTGTAAAAAGGAAAACATCACCGAAGAAGATTTAAAGGTAAAATATTATAAACTAAGTTGCTTATCAAATTAATCAAGTATTATTTAAAAATCAATTGTATACAAATTATTTATCGAGTTAGATACTTTAAATAAATTATGAATTTCAATGTGTTAATTCTTTGATCTGATTATTTACATAAAACATTTTGAAAATATTTGTATAAATACTTTACATATTTATTAGGGATATAGATCAAATTTCCTGGATCTGGACTATAAGGGCTGTGAATGTGGTTGATTTTGAAACTACTGTATTCTCCAATTTTTAAAACCTTTTCTTATTCTTTTTTGTTGTTTTGTGGCTATTTAAAAATTTATATAAAGTTTCATTGGAAAAAGCGGGAAAATGAATAATGTCAAGTGCTTAATTTTTAAAAAATGGACCGAGCCGTTTGGAAACTTTACACCTCGTATCTGGACTATAAGTACTGTACATATTCACTAATATGAAATGTTTGGAGAAGCCGTCGCTTTACGGAAAAACAAAATGCAGTCCTTATACGGGTTGTCGATTACCGGATAACTGCGATATTTTATGCACCGCTAGTGTCAAAGTTCAACTGCTTGACGTTGGTTTAGAACAGTCTGTCAAACTAAGAGATATGTGTATACGTCTCGCTGTGAATTGGATAAAACTACAGTTAACGGGCTAATGCTAACTTTAATTCAATTGTTCTCGTTAAAACAACTAAGCATTCACTAATTTTGAACTTTATCGAGTCACAAGCGCTGGAGCTGACGTTATTCAAAAATGAACAGACGAAGCAATTGTTCTTGCTTATTCTATTGCTTCATCCGAACTAAAAATTGTAAAATATCTAAAATTGAGTTATAATCTAACGCTTCCTTTCAATTTTTAGTTTCCCCTTGAAATCTGGGATGTGTATAATCGGTCAATAATTGATAAATACGGAATTAGAAAAGAAGATATTTTACGTGATCTTTCAGATAATAAGTAAGAATTTTTCAAGGTGTACTGAAATTACGAGACAAAATTCGGAAATTATATCTGTTTGGTATCTATTTTTCACAGTAGTACATTCCGAACATTTCAATTGGATGAAGTATCAAGACAGAGGAACTGTTATTCTATTCAGCCTGAAGTTTATATGGAGCAGAAATTTAAGATGTACGATATTAGTAGTAAGTATTATATAATCGAGATGAGTTGATAATAATAGTTATCGGCGCAGAGCCCAGAAGGTTAGGAGTTGAAAGTTGAAATTTGGTACAAAATTAGGGTACATCACGAAAACGCATACTAAGAAGGGATTTTTCGAAATTCCCTCTGGGGAGAGAGACAGGATTAAGGCTTCGACAATGGAAATGTTACGTAACAATGAAAGTGTTAACAATGGAACTGTTAAGAATGAAAGTGTTAACAATGAAGTGTTAAGAGGAAGCGACGTGCAAGATTTACACGCGCAGATGCAGTTTATTTTCCTTTTCGCGGGAAATCGAACATTTTTAACCCATCTAAAAACTCTCTAATTAGTTTAAAAACAGGACACTTAATTCTTGTGTACTTTGAAAACGGGTAAGGTTGGCTATAATGTAATAATCTTAATCTTCGTTATCGTTACTTTTTGCCCGAGCAACGCCGGGCTTATCTGCTAGTAGTTTTATATTTTGGTTACATTAAACACGAAAAATTACCACTTAACGTTGTTTCTCTTTCTTTTTAATTACATTTTAGATGTAGACATAAAAGCATTTGGTTCAATTCAAATAAAATTCAACCCCGACGAAATGACTTATCCAGGTAATCCAATTAGCGTCGTAGCGGCAATACATTCTAAAGATGGCATCGTCAATCCCTTTACAAGTGGAATTGCTATGACTCCAGGGAACAGATACATCGTCCAATTAACACCCGCAAGTGATTGTTCAATTCGAAATAAATACTTCTACTTTCGACTGAATTTATATTTAATTCTGCTTTTACAGATTGTAAAAACTCTTTTACCTTCTCCATTTAACACAAACTGCGAAAACTACTTCGATTCTCAAAACAATTCATTTTCATTCCCTCGCTATGTAAGTTGAAATAAATGTTAATTTATAATTAAAACAATAATACCTAAATATAGTTTGTATTCTTTAGCGTTGTCTGGCGGAATGTAAAAAAGAACTCTCGCTGAAAAAATGTGGGTGCATATTACCTGATTATCCTTTTGTTACTGATGAAAAAGATTGTGAATATAGAGGTAATAGTTTATTTATTTATAAGTTTGTATGAAAAGTATAAGAAATAAAAATGAACGAGCAATTACTAATGATATTTTAAATTTATTTCATTTAAAATATATTTTCTGTACATCAAATTAATACTGTAATATTTTACCCCTGAAAACCATACTTTTCTGCTAACTGCGCTAACTGCTTTCAGGGGATAAGTTTTGAATTGAAATAACTTTCGGTTTGCATCGGAAGTTCTTGTACAGTTAATCGGGATCTTCTGACATTGTGGTCTCGGATTGTATTTTCCTAAGTCTGTTTTCAAGAGTGAGGAAGGACAGTTGTACGAAGGACAGAAGTGGAAATTTATACGTCAACAATTTTTTTCAAATTGCAGCTTAATAAATTACATTTTGTTCCTTAAGTGTGAATTCTATATTCTTAAGTATACTCAATTGACACTTAAGTAACAAAAAACAGTAAAATGTAATTTATTCATTTTTATTTCTTTATATTATATAATTTACATTATTTTAGTTTATTTATTCATATTTATTATTCTAGATAGTTTGAATTGTCTTTCTTCAATAAACTTGAAATTCTGCTCGGATAAATGTCCAAATAGTTGCGAGTAAGCGCAATATTCTTTATTTCTAATAAGTGAGAATTTATAATATTAAATATATATAGCCTACGTTTTAAATAATCATACAAAATGATAAAACATTTTAAATCCTTATAATTTTAGTTATCATTTAATCAAATAATTCGCAAATTTTAGTTTTTCTCCTTTTTTGAACTCTTCTAAATACGAATTACAAATAATAGTTTGTAAAAATAATCACTTATACTTATTTATATTTAAAAAATGATCAGTTTTTAGATTATATTATTTATATTTTCCTTGTGTATAATAGAAATCGTAACACTATATCGTTCGTATTGTAAGTCGAGTCATTATGAACGTGAAAATAGGGACGTTTTATTCTTTGCTTGTTATAAATACAGTATATATAGTAAAATGGGATACAATATGTCACTGGTACCAAACTACATCCCTCTGGCTAAATTCGGTCAACGATACACGAATATATTTGACACATCACATGTAAACGATAGAAGTAGGCCTATTTTTGCTACATCCTTCAATTATAACAATTTGTGCAACGTGTTGAATATCTGACTACACATTACACAACTGTAATTGTTGCTTTATTCTCTGCTGTTTTCTTTTTTATAACTTATTTCTTTAAAATTATATCGTTTTACATTTTATTATACAGTATATTGTAAAATGAAATGTAGGATGATAAAATTTTACTTAAAAGTTATTTTAAATTCATTCATTTATTTAGTTCATAAGGTATTTTATATGCCTGTCGGCCCGTGGTTCTCCGTGAATCCACTTTAAGTGTTCCGCCATGAAATCAAATATACAATTAAAAATTGTTGCAAAAGAAAAATCAATACAATGTAAAATAACTTTTGTATGGGAATGTAATCAGCAAACTCCAATGACGTCATTCTAAACCGAGTGCCCTCTCGATTTAAAAAATGTTCACCACCCCTGCTTTAAAGCTAATGCATTGTAAGTGTTCCGCGAAAAAAATTCCCGGACTTTAAAAAGATTGAGAACCACGGCTTTAGGCATATAAAATAACTTCTGATAATCGTTATAATGTCGTTGTTACGTATAAGCGACATTAAGATATAATATACGTGTTGAAGTATTGAGTATTTGTTCATTTACGTATATATTAAAGTTAAATTTTAATAAATAAAATATACTCGTATAAATATAAAACGTACATATATATGTATATATATATACGTTTTATATATGTATAAACGTATATATATTTATATATGTATAAACGTATATATATATACGTTTATATATTTATACAAGTATATTTTATTTATTAAAATTTAACTTTAATATATACGTAAATGAACAAATACTCAATACTTCAACACGTATATTATATCTTAATGTCGCTTATACGTAACAACGACATTATAACGAATATCAGAAGTTATTTTAAAAATTATATTTAAAAAATTATAAATATTCATAAGTATATATATGTAAATTTTTCTTATGAATATTTATAATTTTCATATATTTATGAATATTTATAATTTTTTTAAGGTTTACAGTGTTTGAATACAGTGTGAGAAAACGACCGTACAGTTACGTAAGTTGAGTAATATTGAAATACAATGGGTGATCGGTTAACGAACAAATCGGATAACGAACACTTTCGCGAAAGATTTTTGTGATCGGACAACGAACACTTCACTGAACAAACACAAGTAGAAACGACGTAAAATAACAAATACCGATTGGTTTTCCTTTGTCTTCAGGCAACAATTTGGAACTTTTCGGAGCGCGGGAGACGTCGACATCGACGTTTAACCCAGTATATACTGATCGGATAGTATTCCTCCGAACTTCGAAACTCTCCCTTGTAATTCCAGTCTTTTATATTTCTGATGGAAACAATTCTTTTACGTTTTCTTCTGAAAATGCGGATTTATGCCGATATCTGCTACTAAAAATCTTTTGAAGAAGTGGGACGATGTCAGAACAACGGTCTTAAAATGGCATCCAAACAGGGTTGAGGTTAATAGGCTTAGGGATCTCTACAATTACAACGCGATTAATTACTTCTGAAAAATGATGAAGAAAACAGAAAAGCAATCGACATTGGACAGATTCTTTAACCTTCACAAACGGAAAAAACATGACAAATAAAAATGCGAGACCGTGTATATATGTATTTTTATTATTACATATGAATAAACGTAGTAAGAAAGTATATATTTTTTTATTTTTTCGGAGTCTCCAGAACAAATTAATTAAATTCCCATAGAAACCGGATAGTAAATCGATAATCGGTTAACGAACAATTCGGATAGCGAACAAAGTCTTGGAACGGATTACGTTCGTTAACCAATCACCCACTGTATAAGTAATATGCAAGTTTTAAAGTAATAAACAATACACTATTCATTTTTAAAGAAATAATGCGAAATTAATTCTTTTATAAACGTTTCAGAAAATGTTTCACGAGAAGGTGCTGAAACTCAGGTAATTTTCAATTTTCGAAGTAGAAATATGTAAAATTATAAACGATAATTTCAAAATTATTTTCTAGACAAGAGTATGCCACCATACATTTAATATTTAAAACTCGAGAACTATATACATACAGTTTAAAACCCAAGTTTCAGGTAAATTTAATTTATAACCTAAAAGAAATGTGAAGAATTTTTCATTAAAAATTTCATAATTATATTTATTTTCAGCCCATCGAACTGTTTGGCTACATCGGAGGATATATTGGGATTTGGCTGGGAATATCTCTGATCGCAGTTTGCGATTTCCTAGAAGCCATCTTTATTTATTTGTATCATATTATTACCAGAAAAATTCCTAATATAAAATAACGATAGAAATTTACTCATTCTCTGAAATATTTACATTTTAGATATTGTATAACTTCTAGAATGCCTGAGTTTTCTACAATGTTTCGTTTTTAACTTAAACTTAATTTTATTTCACCAATACAACAAGCCCTTTGATTACGATAAATGATTATAATGTAATGTTTAATAATTATCGTTAATTTCGAATAACGTCAGCTCTGTGCGGATGTCTCGCAACGTCTCGTGTAAACAAGTATTTTTAAATATTGAATCTATTTTGAAAGTACATAATAAATAATACGTCGTTTTGAAAACAATTTCGTACGAAATTCGAAACGTCTAATCCAATTAAAATATTCGCGCCGTTCTCTATATTATGGAGAGAAGAGGGGAACAAAGGGTAAGGCTAAAATAAAAATTTCGCTTGTCTTCTTTGTGAAGTACTGTTTAAATCACGTAAAACTGTTTAAGTCACGTAAAAAAAACAAAATACAAAACTGCGACTCATTAAAGTTTTCACGTGTCAACGAACACATATGTAGCTATGTTTGAAGACTTTACTAAGGCACATTCGGTCATATCTATCACATCTCCTATGCTGCCATTTGCTTGTGAATGGTTGTCTCTTTTGCGTTTGTATTTCTCACACCTTTCAAATCAATCTTTCAAACTTAAGTGAATAAGACTGCGGTCATTTTTATAGTCGATTTTTTTGTCTTTTCTTTCTGTGCTGATATTTTAAACTTAGTCATACCGAAATGACTAATATACCTGATAACTATAGATAAAATAACAATTCGGTGGCAGAATATTTCTTTTTTATGCAAAGCTTAACTCGTGTAAGCTCTTGTTTTCCGGCAACGTAGTTTAAACAAAGAAAGCAACCTTACAGTATTGTAACACAGTCAGAGCCGGCCCTATCATAGGGCGAACGGAGCAGCCGCTCCAGGCGCTAAGTCCTAGGGGACTCCTAGTGGTAAAGAAAATTAAATGGTATAAATTAGGGGCAACCAAGGGAAGCGTCATAATAGGATCTCGCTCCATCCTAAAACTTTCCTCGGGCCGGCACTGAACACAGTACTCTCGACTTTGAAATGACCATCAAAAGTGAATGTCATAGGCACTTTTAGGATGTCCGAGAGTTACAGTCGCAAGATCCAGATCAAAATTTTTGTTTAAAAAATTACAAAGATTATAATGACAAAATTATTAATGTTGGTAAGTATTCTTTGTAATGTTTTAAACAAAAATGTTTCGTAAATAATTATAAAATGTTACTGTAATTACAGTTACTATACTGCTTTTCGTGATTAAAAATATGTCTTCGGTAATTTTAAAAGATTGTTTAGAATTTTAATGTAATATGATATTCACCCATTTTAAAGGTAATGTAGAAAAAATTTTTTGTATTATAAAAATANTTTTAATTTAGGCACAATTTTATAAATAATTGATTTAAATATTTTTAATACACAACCGAACTCCGCACATTGTTATTAAATTAACCAACGAAGTTTCAGATATTAAAAGTAGCTGTACTATTTATCGCCTGCATTTCGTTACTAATTCAGCTTATTCTCATTTTAACCTGATTAAAAATTAGTTTTCATTATCCTCCAGCAGACATCACACAAACAACGGAAAAGTGATATTTATAGGCTCGAATTGTATAACAACTCTACTCGAAACTATTCATTTTAAACCTAGGAAAGGTAAGTTTTGTTTTTATATTTTTAGTACATTTTGGTATTCAAATTCAAACTAATGTTTCTTCTTCAGCTGAAATATAAATATGATAGAATATATAAAAAGTCCAAACAGTAAAGATATGAGTCGATATCTTAGAAGAATATTAGAGAATGTCATCGTGACGGGGATTCCTCAGATCGTCACGGAACCAAATATCAAAAGGAAAATATTTAAGTTGTTCATATTTTTCGGTGCTTTATTTGGATTTTTCTTTCAGTTAACTCAATTCCTGTTATTATATTTCACATATCCGACCAATTTAGAAGCTTCGATTAAATTTATGGACGTGAAAGATCTCCCGAAACCGATAATTACAATTTGTGACACCAACGGGTGAGTAGGATTTTAAATTCGGACATTTATTACTATTCGGCTTCTAGGTCTCTTTATTTAGGTAATATTGGCCAAAATTTAATATCATTAATTAAGGTTTTAAAAGTCCGATACTAAAATTAAAAGTGTATTATTCTTATAGTTGTAATAAACTGTATAAATGTATGTTAACTTGTTATTAACATTTTTGTCATCTGATTAAGATAGTGCATTGTCGTTCGAATATTTCTGTTAAATTTTTTATATACAGTAAAACCTGCTAATCTGACTTCTGAAGGGATCGGTTCAAATTGGTCGTCTTACACATATTATCAGGTTAGCAGGTTTTACTCTATTTGAATTGAACCATTCGTACCCTCGCATCACGGGCTTCGATCCCTTCTTCAAATATAGACTATAATAATGAAAGATATGGTTTATTTTTTCTGTTTGTTTATGACCACTTCAAACTAAGTATTTTATATTGTGAAGCGGCAACACTAACTCAATAAGAACAAATAACGCCGGAAGGATTGTCAACACGATTAGAAATTTTTGGCGTTAGAAAAGGAGCTCCTCGTAGTGGATATTCCTACTGGAAAGACGTATGCATCGCGAAAGTCGCTTTTTCGATTAGTGTCTACTCGATTAATAAATTGCACCATTCTGTACCATCCGAGTGTCGCGATAAACGTGATAATGATAGGTTAAAATAACCAAACTCTTTACATGGTTTTCGTTTTAATATTTGTTATATTAGTGTATTTGATTCATATAACAACGATGATTATATTACGTAAGGGTTTATTTCACCGAGTGACCAATCTAACACATTTTACATTAAACATGTTTTATTCCCCTACTGTACACAATTCAAAGAAATTTTAAAATGTGTTTGATTGTTTACTCGGTGTGATAAATCCTTACGTAAGATAATCTTTTCTTGTTATATAGATCAAATACCGTAATATAATACGATACAAGAGTTAGTAGTACGAAATAAGCTAATAATCTTAATGTTTCTTGTTACTTTTTGCCGAGCAAAGTCGAGCGTATCCGCTTGTTAAATATAGATTTGAACTGTAAAACTCGTACGAATAAATTGTCCCGCTCTACCGTTTGCCCCGAATATGCAATACACCTGTTCCAACACTCTACAAGTTATGCGTTGAACGTACAATATATATATAGAATATAGTAAAAATAAAGGGGTTCGTACAAGTTCATCTGCGAAATTATTACTAATTTAGTATATTATTCGTATTTCACTGATTAATGTAATTAGTTAAAATCCGCAAGTCGAGTGAGAAATAACGTCTGATATTTTAAAATTATTTATAGTGTACGACGAACAGACTTTTGTCGAGATTTTCCAAGAAAATGTGAGAAAACAATGCTTATCAAAGAAGTGTGTGAAAATTTCGACTATTTTTGTAAAAAGGAAAACATCACCGAAGAAGATTTAAAGGTAAAATATTATAAACTAAGTTGCTTATCAAATTAATCAAGTATTATTTAAAAATCAATTGTATACAAATTATTTATCGAGTTAGATACTTTAAATAAATTATGAATTTCAATGTGTTAATTCTTTGATCTGATTATTTACATAAAACATTTTGAAAATATTTGTATAAATACTTTACATATTTATTAGGGATATAGATCAAATTTCCTGGATCTGGACTATAAGGGCTGTGAATGTGGTTGATTTTGAAACTACTGTATTCTCCAATTTTTAAAACCTTTTCTTATTCTTTTTTGTTGTTTTGTGGCTATTTAAAAATTTATATAAAGTTTCATTGGAAAAAGCGGGAAAATGAATAATGTCAAGTGCTTAATTTTTAAAAAATGGACCGAGCCGTTTGGAAACTTTACACCTCGTATCTGGACTATAAGTACTGTACATATTCACTAATATGAAATGTTTGGAGAAGCCGTCGCTTTACGGAAAAACAAAATGCAGTCCTTATACGGGTTGTCGATTACCGGATAACTGCGATATTTTATGCACCGCTAGTGTCAAAGTTCAACTGCTTGACGTTGGTTTAGAACGGTCTGTCAAACTAAGAGATATGTGTATACGTCTCGCTGTGAATTGGATAAAACTACAGTTAACGGGCTAATGCTAACTTTAATTCAATTGTTCTCGTTAAAACAACTAAGCATTCACTAATTTTGAACTTTATCGAGTCACAAGCGCTGGAGCTGACGTTATTCAAAAATGAACAGACGAAGCAATTGTTCTTGCTTATTCTATTGCTTCATCCGAACTAAAAATTGTAAAATATCTAAAATTGAGTTATAATCTAACGCTTCCTTTCAATTTTTAGTTTCCCCTTGAAATCTGGGATGTGTATAATCGGTCAATAATTGATAAATACGGAATTAGAAAAGAAGATATTTTACGTGATCTTTCAGATAATAAGTAAGAATTTTTCAAGGTGTACTGAAATTACGAGACAAAATTCGGAAATTATATCTGTTTGGTATCTATTTTTCACAGTAGTACATTCCGAACATTTCAATTGGATGAAGTATCAAGACAGAGGAACTGTTATTCTATTCAGCCTGAAGTTTATATGGAGCAGAAATTTAAGATGTACGATATTAGTAGTAAGTATTATATAATCGAGATGAGTTGATAATAATAGTTATCGGCGCAGAGCCCAGAAGGTTAGGAGTTGAAAGTTGAAATTTGGTACAAAATTAGGGTACATCACGAAAACGCATACTAAGAAGGGATTTTTCGAAATTCCCTCTGGGGAGAGAGACAGGATTAAGGCTTCGACAATGGAAATGTTACGTAACAATGAAAGTGTTAACAATGGAACTGTTAAGAATGAAAGTGTTAACAATGAAGTGTTAAGAGGAAGCGACGTGCAAGATTTACACGCGCAGATGCAGTTTATTTTCCTTTTCGCGGGAAATCGAACATTTTTAACCCATCTAAAAACTCTCTAATTAGTTTAAAAACAGGACACTTAATTCTTGTGTACTTTGAAAACGGGTAAGGTTGGCTATAATGTAATAATCTTAATCTTCGTTATCGTTACTTTTTGCCCGAGCAACGCCGGGCTTATCTGCTAGTAGTTTTATATTTTGGTTACATTAAACACGAAAAATTACCACTTAACGTTGTTTCTCTTTCTTTTTAATTACATTTTAGATGTAGACATAAAAGCATTTGGTTCAATTCAAATAAAATTCAACCCCGACGAAATGACTTATCCAGGTAATCCAATTAGCGTCGTAGCGGCAATACATTCTAAAGATGGCATCGTCAATCCCTTTACAAGTGGAATTGCTATGACTCCAGGGAACAGATACATCGTCCAATTAACACCCGCAAGTGATTGTTCAATTCGAAATAAATACTTCTACTTTCGACTGAATTTATATTTAATTCTGCTTTTACAGATTGTAAAAACTCTTTTACCTTCTCCATTTAACACAAACTGCGAAAACTACTTCGATTCTCAAAACAATTCATTTTCATTCCCTCGCTATGTAAGTTGAAATAAATGTTAATTTATAATTAAAACAATAATACCTAAATATAGTTTGTATTCTTTAGCGTTGTCTGGCGGAATGTAAAAAAGAACTCTCGCTGAAAAAATGTGGGTGCATATTACCTGATTATCCTTTTGTTACTGATGAAAAAGATTGTGATTATAGGGGTAAAATTTATTTATTTATAAGTTTGTATGAAAAGTATAAGAAATAAAAATGAACGAGCAATTATTAATGATATTTTAAATTTATTTCATTTAAAATATATTTTCTGTACATCAAATTAATACTGTAATATTTTACCCCTGAAAACCATACTTTTCTGCTAACTGCGCTAACTGCTTTCAGGGGATAAGTTTTGAATTGAAATAACTTTCGGTTTGCATCGGAAGTTCTTGTACAGTTAATCGGGATCTTCTGACATTGTGGTCTCGGATTGTATTTTCCTAAGTCTGTTTTCAAGAGTGAGGAAGGACAGTTGTACGAAGGACAGAAGTGGAAATTTATACGTCAACAATTTTTTTCAAATTGCAGCTTAATAAATTACATTTTGTTCCTTAAGTGTGAATTCTATATTCTTAAGTATACTCAATTGACACTTAAGTAACAAAAAACAGTAAAATGTAATTTATTCATTTTTATTTCTTTATATTATATAATTTACATTATTTTAGTTTATTTATTCATATTTATTATTCTAGATAGTTTGAATTGTCTTTCTTCAATAAACTTGAAATTCTGCTCGGATAAATGTCCAAATAGTTGCGAGTAAGCGCAATATTCTTTATTTCTAATAAGTGAGAATTTATAATATTAAATATATATAGCCTACGTTTTAAATAATCATACAAAATGATAAAACATTTTAAATCCTTATAATTTTAGTTATCATTTAATCAAATAATTCGCAAATTTTAGTTTTTCTCCTTTTTTGAACTCTTCTAAATACGAATTACAAATAATAGTTTGTAAAAATAATCACTTATACTTATTTATATTTAAAAAATGATCAGTTTTTAGATTATATTATTTATATTTTCCTTGTGTATAATAGAAATCGTAACACTATATCGTTCGTATTGTAAGTCGAGTCATTATGAACGTGAAAATAGGGACGTTTTATTCTTTGCTTGTTATAAATACAGTATATATAGTAAAATGGGATGCAATAGGTCACNCTTCCAGCGAAGTATTTAGATCTATTTTAAATTACTATTAATATTTTTGTTATCCGATTATTATAATAAATTACCTATCGTTTAAGTATTTATGTATAAATATTTTATATATTTAATTAAGAATATTTGACGATCCCTCGACGACGACGAGGAAACTGTTTATAATTTAATATAACGTTCGTTTTTCATTAATGATAAATAGAATTAATTTAAGTTATTGCCGTAGCTCCGTAGGTGAAAAATTTCCTGGGGTCTTTGAAATTATTTACAGATAGGGACGAAGAGCATTTTGTGAAGATTTTAAAAAAGATATTTGATAATAAACAATATCGAGAAATTTTGTAAAAATGGTAATATCGCCGCGGACCATTTAATGGTGACGTTTTAAATATATTATTTATAATTCGCAAATTAATTAAACTAATGAAATGTTATCTTAAATGTCCTAAATGTTGTAGTAGACCCCATACAGAGTGGCGCGTGTCAATTTAATTTCGGAAATATTCAAATTATACAATGGTATTCAAATCAAGTAGTAGCTGGACTACGAAATAGAATTTTCGAAATATTTGTCTTCATACGCAATCAAATTCATAAAATTGTTGAAGAATATGGTGTCTGACCGTTGTTGAAATTTCTTTTATCGCGTACCTGATGCGATTTTCAAAAATATGAAGGTTTCCTGTGTAACAATTCTATATTTCGTTGACCGTTTATTACTTAAGTTAAGGACGTTTTAGAACAAAGGTAAGAATCGATTGCTTATCCAGAGTGAATGGTCGCTTTAATTTAGCCTACCGAGTGAAGTAACGCGAATTCGAAATCCGTCGCTCTTCAGTCATGGACGAAGTTCTACTAGAATATTTTAGAAGCGATTGCCTTTTTAATAAACTTCAAATAAATTTATAAAGTCGAGATACTTAATATATCATTTGGTTATNTGAAAAAATGTGGGTGCATATTACCTGATTATCCTTTTGTTACTGATGAAAAAGATTGTGAATATAGAGGTAATAGTTTATTTATTTATAAGTTTGTATGAAAAGTATAAGAAATAAAAATGAACGAGCAATTATTAACAATATTTTTAATTTATTTCATTTGAAATATATTCTCTGTACTGCACATCAAATTAATATCGGCTGAAATCTCCGTAGCAGGCAACGAAACCGAAGAAGACTGTAGTGCATAAAGTGTGTGAGAATAGTATAAGAAGAAACGAGACGTAATAAAGGTTGCAAACAGAGGAATGTAGGCACTAAATAGGTTTTATTAAAAATAGTGCTGGTTAAATAAGGTGATTTCTGTTTATAAACTAAAATATTACGGGAACAGTGGAGAGTGGACGGCAGTTTTAGTGCGTTGTTACAATTTGTACGCTTACTGAAGGAGGACAGTTGCTCAAAAGGATAAGCGATGGAATTTGTTTTATACAGATTGGTTGAGAAGAGCGTTGAGAATACTGTAGTGATAAAAACTAAACGTAACTGTTTAAAAATTGTATATAAAGTGTAGTTATGTTATTAAATTTATGGCTGCAGATTATGTTTGTATAAAACATTGTGAGCAGTATTGATTATTAGGTCTTGATGTGTTATACAATAGAGCATCGATTATCCGACCACCGATTAACCGTCACATCGGTTAACCGACCGTTCTAGTCGGCAAATTTCAAATGTCCGCTAGTGACGTGGCATTACAATATTTGGCTGTCTTGGCTACTTTAATATTATTTTCGTTAAATTTTTGCGTGTTTTGGCTGGCATCAATGGCTCGACCGTTGGAGGGAGGCCAGTATTTAAACGAGACTTAATTTTCTAATTACGAGTGGTTGTTTGTTTCGTGAGAAATAAAATAGTTTAAAAATAATTTTTAACGATACAATAGCGACGATTATTATTTAAAAAAAATTTGTTAGGCTAAACATCGATGAAAATTCAACGCGAAGTTGGTTAATAGCGATATACTAATAAACTAATTACATGGGATATACTAATATCCTAATATACTATACTAATAATGCATTTTTCCCTTTTTTTTCCCCTTCTTCGCGACCGAACACTATTCCTCTCCGGCCACGTTTTCCTCGATTTTAGTCGTGCTATTGTTTTAAATCTTTTACAAAAAAAAAACTTCCATTGTTTAACTCAGATCTTAAATTTCGCTTATTTGCGTTGTAAAACGTGATTTTTTTAAAAGCCGGTGAATACCTCCTTTAGGACCACGTTGGGTCTGTCTCAGTATTGATCGCATCTACATACGAACCTCTCGACCCCTTTCTTTCTATCGGCAACCTCACAAAAATAAAAAGTAAATATTGTGTTATTGCATCAAGTTCTAAGATAATGACGTACGGTTTGGTGGGTGCTCGGCAACGGCAAGTAACCAAACGCTGTCAATACTCCGTGGCACATTGAAAGTGTTTTTATTATTTGGATTAAATACTTATAAGCACGAGAGTAAGCGCTTAATTTCGTGCTTATAATACAAGTAAACATTTTGTGGGTACTGCTTCGAAGTTCCAAGATTATGTTTACCAAACACACACTAAAAAGATTCAACTGTCATCTAAATTATCATTATCTTTTACTTGGTGCAATTTGTTTTACATTTCAGATGTTTTTGTCTGGATTCAACATTACCGAAAATCTTCCCTTGTACGATAAACTTTAATATAAATTCTAAAATTACTTTGTTAATAATTTTATGTTTTGGTTACGTTAAACACGAAAAATTATGACTTGACGTTGTTTTTCTTTATTTTTAATTACATTTTAGATGTAGACACAAAAGTATTTGGTTCAGTTGAAATAAAATTCAACCCCTAGGAAACGACTTATCTAGGTAATCTAATTAGTGTCTTAGCGGCAATACATTCTAAAGATGACATCGTCAATCCATTTAAAAGTGGAATTCCTATAACTCCAGGAAACATATACATCGTTCAGTTAACACCCGCAAGTGATTGTTGAATTCGAAATAAATACTTCTACTTTCGACTGAATTTATATTTAATTTTGCTCTTACAGATTGTAAAAACTCTTTTACCTTCTCCATTTAGCACAAAGTGCGAAAACTACTTCGATTCGCAAAACAATTCATTTTCATTCCCTCGCTATGTAAGTTGAAATAAATATTAATTTCTAATTAAAACAATAATTCCTAAATAGTCTTTAACATTGTCTTGGGAATGTAAAAAAAAACTTTCGTGAAAAAATGTGGGTGCATATTACCTGATTATCCTTTTGTTACTGATGAAATATTGTGATTATAGGGGTAAAAGTTTATTTATTTATAAGATTGTATGAAAAATATAAGAAATGAAAATGAACGAGCAATTATTAACAATATTTTTAATTTATTTCATTTGAAATATATTCTCTGTACTGCACATCAAATTAATACTGTTCTATCTTGCCCCTGTGCATCACACTTTTCCGTTAGCAAAGGAGTCGTGCCTGTCATATACTTAACAGCTTTCAGGTAATAAGTTTTGAATTGAAATAATTTTCGGTTTGCATCAGAAGTTCTTGTACAGTTAATCGGGGTCTGCTGACATTGGGGTTTGTACATCTTATCTCTTCTTTTATTTTGTTAACTCTGTTCTCAACAGTGAGGAAGGACAGTCGGACGGAGGACAGAAGTAGAGATTTAAAGGTCTACAATTTTTTCTTATTGCAGCTCAATAAATTACAGTTTGTTTCTTAAGTGAGAATTATATTTTCTTAAGTATACTCAATTCACAGTTAAGTAACGAAAACAGTAAAATGTAATTTATGCATTCTTATTTCTTCATATTATATAATTTATTTTATTTTATTTTATTTATTCATATTTATTATTATAGAAAGTTTGAATTGTCTTTCTTCAATAAACATGAAATTCTGCACGGATAAATGTCCAAAAAGTTGCGAGTAAGTACAATTTTCTTTATTTCTAATTAAATAACTAAGAAATTTAAATATTAAATTCATATACGTTTAAATAAAATCATACAAAACGATAAAATACTTCAAATCCATATAACTTTGGTTATCATTTAAACGAATAATTTGCAAATTTCAGTTTTTCTCTTGTAAATACGAATTACAAATAATAGTTTGTAAAAATATTCACTTATACAGTAATACCCCGNCTGACCGTTGTTGAAATTTCTTTTATCGCGTACCTGATGCGATTTTCAAAAATATGAAGGTTTCCTGTGTAACAATTCTATATTTCGTTGACCGTTTATTACTTAAGTTAAGGACGTTTTAGAACAAAGGTAAGAATCGATTGCTTATCCAGAGTGATTAGTCGCTTTAATTTAGCCTACCGAGTGAAGTAACGCGAATTCGAAATCCGTCGCTCTTCAGTCATGGACGAAGTTCTACTAGAATATTTTAGAAGCGATTGCCTTTTTAATAAACTTCAAATAAATTTATAAAGTCGAGATACTTAATATATCATTTGGTTATACATATTTATAGTTTAAATTTAAATATATAACTTATTTACTATTCGCTAATATTTGCTTATTATAATCGGCTTTTTATTTACATAAATTAGAGACTTTAGTCACAAAGATGCCTGTCTAGACGTACTAAACCCTTTCAAAAGAGGCATTTAACCGTTTTAACAGAACCTATTTTAAAGCAATTATTGGTTTATCGCACATAAAGAGCATACTGCCGTTTTTTTAGTAAGCAAAGTAATTTGTTCGTCCTATACTATTTTCTACACATTTTTCATACGCACATCACGAACGAAATTCCACACTAAATCGAACAAAACCATATTATTTAATGACATTTGTAAATATACTAAAACATGTCCAAAAAGTAACCCGAATAAAAAGGAAGAAATTCTTCGAAATGGAGCGATTGCCTATGTTATATTTTACTGTAAATCAGAAATCTACCATTGCGGAAAAGTTTGTAAAATATCGTTGCGTACGAAGAATGTAACTTAATTAACTCGGATAAAGCGGAAAATTAAGATTTCATTTGTACACAAGTAAGTGTAGACGTAATCGATAACGATATATTGATGTAGGCACTATCAGAATTGTTTCGATACATCAGTATGGGTTTATTTTACAAATCGATACTCCGATCTTTTTTGACGTAAATACTAGTGTTGCAACGAATAGCACATTTGGCCTCAGGCCGAATACCGAATATTCGGCCAAACTATTCGGCTCGATTAACGCACGTACGAAAATTGACGCGCAAACCGCATTATGGCAAGGACCTCGCTCTCTATTGCCCGCTGTCACTACGCTTCGCCAATCGCGTTAATTCTTGACAGTTGTAGCGGACAGATAAGAGCGTCACGGCAGTATGTGATAAACGATGATATCAAATGTGGATAACATTGAAAAGACCTACACGTGTCGGTCTTTTCCGTGGTACCGTGGGTGTCAGCAGCCCGGGGCGGAGGAAAATTTCGGCCCCTCCCTTATTCAGGTATTTCAATTTATAAGACCAAAATTCAGTTTTGTCACAGAACAAGCAATGAAAAATTCGGTGGTAGTGCAGCGACCTGTTTAAAATAGTTCTATTCGATATCAGTGGTGTATATGAACGCTAATGAATCGTACAAGCAAAAAAAAAAGGTCAACAAGTTTCGCAGGAACTCCTGGGATGAAAAAGTTACTAGTTCACCCGGCGAGCCGACTCCCAAACTATCCGGACTAGGGATTGTATACCGGTTTACCGATTTACCGGTTAACCGATAAATCGACAAAAAACATTCGGTAAACTTACCGGTAAATTTTTGAAATTTACCGGTAATTCGGCAAATGAAAAATTCATACTAGAAATTTTTATGTAGAAAATATTNCAATATGTCACTGGTACCAAACTACATCCCTCTGGCTAAATTCGGTCAACGATACACGAATATATTTGACACATCACATGTAAACGATAGAAGTAGGCCTATTTTTGCTACATCCTTCAATTATAACAATTTGTGCAACGTGTTGAATATCTGACTACACATTACACAACTGTAATTGTTGCTTTATTCTCTGCTGTTTTCTTTTTTATAACTTATTTCTTTAAAATTATATCGTTTTACATTTTATTATACAGTATATTGTAAAATGAAATGTAGGATGATAAAATTTTACTTAAAAGTTATTTTAAATTCATTCATTTATTTAGTTCATAAGGTATTTTATATGCCTGTCGGCCCGTGGTTCTCCGTGAATCCACTTTAAGTGTTCCGCCATGAAATCAAATATACAATTAAAAATTGTTGCAAAAGAAAAATCAATACAATGTAAAATAACTTTTGTATGGGAATGTAATCAGCAAACTCCAATGACGTCATTCTAAACCGAGTGCCCTCTCGATTTAAAAAATGTTCACCACCCCTGCTTTAAAGCTAATGCATTGTAAGTGTTCCGCGAAAAAAATTCCCGGACTTTAAAAAGATTGAGAACCACGGCTTTAGGCATATAAAATAACTTCTGATAATCGTTATAATGTCGTTGTTACGTATAAGCGACATTAAGATATAATATACGTGTTGAAGTATTGAGTATTTGTTCATTTACGTATATATTAAAGTTAAATTTTAATAAATAAAATATACTCGTATAAATATAAAACGTACATATATATGTATATATATATACGTTTTATATATGTATAAACGTATATATATTTATATATGTATAAACGTATATATATATACGTTTATATATTTATACAAGTATATTTTATTTATTAAAATTTAACTTTAATATATACGTAAATGAACAAATACTCAATACTTCAACACGTATATTATATCTTAATGTCGCTTATACGTAACAACGACATTATAACGATTATCAGAAGTTATTTTATATGCCTAAAGCCGTGGTTCTCAATCTTTTTAAAGTCCGGGAATTTTTTTCGCGGAACACTTACAATGCATTAGCTTTAAAGCAGGGGTGGTGAACATTTTTTAAATCGAGAGGGCACTCGGTTTAGAATGACGTCATTGGAGTTTGCTGATTACATTCCCATACAAAAGTTATTTTACATTGTATTGATTTTTCTTTTGCAACAATTTTTAATTGTATATTTGATTTCATGGCGGAACACTTAAAGTGGATTCACGGAGAACCACGGGCCGACAGGCATATAAAATACCTTATGAACTAAATAAATGAATGAATTTAAAATAACTTTTAAGTAAAATTTTATCATCCTACATTTCATTTTACAATATACTGTATAATAAAATGTAAAACGATATAATTTTAAAGAAATAAGTTATAAAAAAGAAAACAGCAGAGAATAAAGCAACAATTACAGTTGTGTAATGTGTAGTCAGATATTCAACACGTTGCACAAATTGTTATAATTGAAGGATGTAGCAAAAATAGGCCTACTTCTATCGTTTACATGTGATGTGTCAAATATATTCGTGTATCGTTGACCGAATTTAGCCAGAGGGATGTAGTTTGGTACCAGTGACATATTGTATCCCATTTTACTATATATACTGTATTTATAACAAGCAAAGAATAAAACGTCCCTATTTTCACGTTCATAATGACTCGACTTACAATACGAACGATATAGTGTTACGATTTCTATTATACACAAGGAAAATATAAATAATATAATCTAAAAACTGATCATTTTTTAAATATAAATAAGTATAAGTGATTATTTTTACAAACTATTATTTGTAATTCGTATTTAGAAGAGTTCAAAAAAGGAGAAAAACTAAAATTTGCGAATTATTTGATTAAATGATAACTAAAATTATATGGATTTAAAATGTTTTATCATTTTGTATGATTATTTAAAACGTAGGCTATATATATTTAATATTATAAATTCTCACTTATTAGAAATAAAGAATATTGCGCTTACTCGCAACTATTTGGACATTTATCCGAGCAGAATTTCAAGTTTATTGAAGAAAGACAATTCAAACTATCTAGAATAATAAATATGAATAAATAAA